ATAAAAGCTAAAATTAACTTATCATTTAATCAAATAGGATCATTATTTAACTACATATGATTCTGAAACTCGTCGAAAACGAGTTGCCGATACTTTCGATACAGTACGGGTGTGTGTGGGTGTGGATGTGGGGGTGTGAGTGTAGATGTGTGGGTGTGAGTATGAGTCTCGTATTTATCGACACCCACACACCCACACCCTAGTATGTTAAGGAATAAATGCCTCTGCTTTGGAAAAGTGTTACATATAAAGCGTTGTTTGGATGAAGGCTAAGTTTATGGGTGTGGGTGGATGCTGATGTGGATGAAGCGACGAGTTAGAACCACGCTCACATCCATACCTACAGCCGCCCACATCGACAGGTACACGCACATCCAAAATATGCTTTTCTTATTTCGTTGAATACGAAACATTATCAATTTATCTCTGAAGAGTCGGCTAACCATTGTCTGAATTTGACAAATAAACTTGACATTATCTGTATAATCAGCAGAATTTGCCATCACCTGATCTTTTTCTCTGACTTTTGCATTATGTATTTGTAGAGGCATTTCTTCAATATTTCCTTCTGCTGCCTCTAATTTTCACTAATAAGCTTGATTGCATTTTGTTGTACCGTTGTTTCGATGAGTGTTTTCAAGTATTACAGCAAACACTGAAACGTTCATAGCCAAACGTGTGAATAAGAAATTTTCGATAGTAAACGTTATCGCATATGTTTTCAAACGAAGCACAACGACCCTGTCATAGCTTAATGGGACTTGAACAGTGTCAGTGCGAGAACTGATAAAATTTAAGCGATTTTTCGAAACTATCATTTATGTCGTGCAATGAAAGTGAGCGTTTAGCTAACTAACGAAATCATGAGTGACTTGATAGAACATTCGAACGTTCCGTATTTATTACAGGAAGCTTCCAGTAATTTTGTAAATCTTATATAATGGTTTCGTATATATTGTACGAAACCAATAATGGTTCTGTATATAGATTACGAAACCATTGTTAGTTCAGCAAGTGATAAAACGGTTTTGTGAAAATTTAGTGGAACATTTAAAGGTTCCGTATATGTGATACGAAGCCATCAATAGTTTCGTGAATGATGCAATGGTCCGGCATTTCTTTTACGAAACCATGCATAGCTTCGAAAGCGTTGCCAAGGTTCCGCACACATTTTACGAAACGCATACAATGGTTTCGTATATCTTATACGGAGCCATTATGAGTTTCACCCTTTATCTGAAGGTTTAGTATATATGTCACGAAACCATTGGCAGTTTCGTAGAGCCTCTAAAGGTATCGTATTAGTTCTACGAAGCCATTCTTAGTTGCGTAAGTTCTCTAATAGTTCTGGACGCGTTCTACGAAACTATCTATGGTTTCGCAAACGACATACCGAACCATTACATCATTGACAAAACTATGAATAGTTTCGTACAATGTATGCTGAACTTTTTGAAGTTTTACGAAACTTTCACTAGATTCGTATACAACGCACTGAACCTTTAGTTGTTCCACGAAACTATTAGTGGTTTCGTAAAGCATCAAAAAGTTCAACATGCATTGTATGAAACTGTGAACAGTTTCGTAAATGATGTAATGGTTCAGTATATCTTTTTCGAAAGCATGGCTAGTTTCGTAGAACATGTTCGGAACTATTAAAGCACTTACGAAACTATGAATGGCTTCGTAGAACCTATACGAAACCTTTGAATGCTATACAGCACTGTCAAAGGTTTCGTACAAAAGATACGAAACTACCGAAAGTTCAGTACATAATACTCAGAACTTCTAGAGGGTTTCGTAGTAAAATTTCGAAACCTTCTTCATTTTTCCGAAGTTAAAAAGGTTCTGCATAAAAATTACGAAACTATTTCCATACCAAGGAACTTAAAATGGTTTTGTAAAACGGTATGAAACCTTCAAAGTTCAGTAGCAAACCTATTTTTTTACAGTGTGGTCACTAGAACAATGCTCTTTTCAATTTTCTCAAAGAAAATAATTGTTTTCCTCGTCTTGTAACTCGCTAAAAATGAATTATCAATATCGCATTATGCAAAATTCTTGAAAGTTCGAGAATTTCAACATACGAAAGTTTCCACAACCTTTACTGTTTAGTACCTATAAGCTTCATTTTTGACGGACTTTCGTTTGATATTAAATTCATTATTTCTTCTATTTGAAATTATAGCGATATCCTCCTAGTAAAATGTTATTTTCAATCTAGTATATCCATCTTTTAACTCCACCATGAAGATCACAATCCAGTGATTTTCATGCCGGTCGCAAGTCCAAAAAAAGGAGGAGCGTTAGATGGAAGGGGTGCAAGTACCGCCGTCTGTAGAAAAGAAAAGGCGAAAGAAACCAATCATGGGAGATCAATATCAAAAATCATACCGGCTCGGACGTAGCCCGGGTGAACAAGGTCCGCGTCCTCTGTCGAGGAACCAGGACAGAGTCAAAAAATTGGTAACTGGAACAACCATGCACGCAATAACGGCAACAAAAGCAACAACATCGACAACAATAACCAATGCTGCAACAACTCCAACAATAAATACAAGAGCAATATCAACGACGACAAAGGGAGCTCCAAGACAAACACCAAGCACAACAACAACTAAATATGACTCACAAAGACTGAAAATGACGAAGGGCATTCTTACTGTTGGCACTTGGAATGTTCGAACACTATGGGCAACTGGAAAATTGGAACTATTAAGAAATGAAATGAAGAGATATAAATACGACATCATCGACATCTCAGAAGTACAGTGGACAGGCAAAGGTGAAACATCAAATGGCAACTTCATCTGGTCAGGAGAAGCCAGTACACACAGTAAAGGTGTTGGAATATTACTCAGTACAAAAGCCAAAAAGTCAGTTTTAGGCTACAATCCAATCAACTCAAGATTAATTACTGCAAGATTCAATGCGACCCCATTCAACATAACAATCATCAATGTATATGCTCCAACATCGGATGCACCAGAAGATGACATCGAGACATTCTATGACAACCTGGAAGATGCTGTGGCACAAACGCCAAAAAAAGATGTCCTCGTCATAGTTGGAGATTGGAATGCAAAGGTGGGAAATGACAGCACAGGATGGGAATCTATTATGGGCAGATACGGTTATGGAGATAGGAATGAACGTGACGAACGGTTATTAGAGTTTGCAACATTACACAATTTATTCATTTGCAATACAAGGTTCCAACAAAAATCAAGTCGAAAATGGACAGGGGAATCACCGAGTGTTGTGCACAAGAACATGATTAACTTGATCACCATACAACAACGTTGGAAAACATTCGTCATCAACTGCAGAACGTTTCAAGTTGCAGACATCAGCTCTAACCACTCCCTAGTGTTATGCAATATTAAATTAAACACTGAAGAATCTACGCAATAAACCAAGACACAATCATCGAATTGACATGAATCAACTCAAAGATCAACCAACAAGACAAACCTACCAAGCAAAACTAGCAAACAACTTAAACAAGATCTATCCAAACTCCAGTATCGAAGACTATGCTGTACAAATCGGTAAAGCAGTCAAAGAAGCATTACAGTCAAGTGTAACTAATACAAAAACAATCGAAAAGCCCTGGATCTACACCCAAACATACAATTTAGCAGACGAAAAACGAAAAGCAAAACAAACAGAGCATCTGTCAACAGAACACAACAAAATATACAAAGATCTCTGTAAC